TACTGCAGAGACACCGGGCGTGGCAGGGCCAGAATGCACACCCAGGTCACCTGATTCCAGCACCCACCACTCACCGTCCTGCAACCCAGCCCCTTCCTCAGCACCACAGGACTCCCCTGTACCACCTTACGCTGGTTCCTGCCCCCCTCCCTCCCTCATTGAGAGACCCTGGGGCTTAGAGAGACTTCTGCTCACCTTTGGACCCTGACCGCACATGGAGCTCCAGGTGAAGTCTGGAGCAGCAAAGCAGTGTTGGTGGAAGTGACTTGACTTGGAGGTGGGTTGGGGGTCAAAGTGAGTGGGGCCTGGCTGTGCAGCCCCTTTGATCAGGCTCCCCCAGACTCTGCATGGATTGTATGCTGTGAGAATTATGTTTCAGTAAAGCAGAGTTATCTCTTTCCTACACTGCACCATCTCAAATGCCAGCCCCTCAGCAAAGATCCGTGGGAAATGCTTCCTCCCTTCCAAGCTGGGGCTATTTTATCCCTATTTTTTGCTCAAACTAAGCCACCTAATGACAAGGGCCTCTGCACTGAGTTCTATAGGCTACAACCTGCACACCTGTACACAGCTGCCTGCCATTGACTTCGAAGAGCCTCCGGGTCCCAAATCCAAGAGGCCTCTCGGCTCTGCCCTGAGTGGGGGCGGGTGGTGAGGGGGAGAGAGGGAGGAGAATCAGGGAGGGGAGGGCGGTTGAAGGAACGCAGAGGCAGTCTGACAAATGAGATTGGTGTAGCCGAAACCGGTTTGGCTCAGTGGATAGAGCGTTGGCCTGAGGACTGAAGGGTCCCGGGTTCGATTCAAGTCAAGGGCATGTGCCTTGGCTGTGGGCACATCCCCGGTGGGGGGTGTGCAGGAGGCAGCTGGTCGATGATTCTCTCTCATCGATGTTTCTAACTCTCTATCCCTCTCTCTTCCTCTCTGTAAAAAATATTTAAAAAAAAAAAAGAGAGAGAGAGAGAGAGATTGGTGCAGAAAGCAGATTGGGGGTGGAGGTGGGAGGGAGGGGTCAGGGGCTGGTGGGAGGAAGATGTGACTGTAAAGGGACCGAGTTTCCTTTTGGGGTGATGAAAATGTTCTGCAAGTAGATAGTGGTGCTGGTTGCACAACCTTGTGAATGTATTAAAAGCTGCTTAATTGTATACTTAAAAAATGGGTAGATGGTAAATTTTATGTTATGTGTATTTTACAGCAATAATAATAATTAAAAAAATACCCCGCCGAAACTGGTTTGGCTCAGTGGATAGAGCGTCAGCCTGAAGACTAAAAGGTCCCAGGTTGGAATTTGGTCAAGGGCATGTACCTTGGTTGTGGGCACATCCCCAGTAGGGGGTATGAAGGAGGCAGCTGATCGATGCTTCTCTCTCATCGATGCTTTTAACTCTGTCCCTCTCCCCTTCCTCTCTGTAAAAAAAAACAAAAACAAAAACAAAACAATAAAATATATTTAAAAAAAATAATACTCAACTTTTTTAGCTTCAGCACTATCTCAGGGCCCTTACGTATTATAGGAACCAGATCTAGGACCACTTGTGTCCCACAAGGGTCTGTTCTCTTGAAACATGCCCACATCTGAGAGGAGCTCTTAGGAGCAGACCTTAGGGCCCTCTCACTCCACCCCCTCTTCATGCCACCTGCTCTTTACATCAATGGAGAACATTTCCCTTCAGGATACCTTCCAGGAGCCTCTGTGTTAGGATTGGGCCCGGTGTTTTAGTCAAATAAATGTATCACAAACACGCAAAGACCTGGGGGTGTTTCTGGAGTTTTCAAAACACAGCTCACTACGAGGCATCTCTGGCTTGGTCATTCCCACAGGACAAGCAGTATACAGCAAGTAGGAAGAGCTTGGAGGTCCTGTCCCTGGACTGACTTCATGCCCCAGAATCCAAATCACCCCATCCTTCTGGCACCTCCTCAGTCCAGGGCCCAGGGTGCCTGGCTATCTTTTCAGCTCAGGCTGGGAAATCGCATCTTTGTTAGTTCAGCTCCAGCCCTGAGGGAAGAAGGCTTTGGAGAACCAGAGTCCTGGGTTTGAGTTCCTTACTAGCTGAGTGACTTTGAGGAAGTTACTCAACCTCTTTGTGCTTATTTTCCTTGTCTTTAAAATGAAGATTTACTCTAACTCTGCTTTATTGAAACATTAGAGGCCCGGTGCACAAAGATTTACCTTGGTTGTGGGCACATCCCCAGTAGAGGGTGTGTAGGAGGCAGCTGATCAATGTTTATAATTCTCTATCCCTCTCCCTTCCTCTCTGTAAAAATATCATTAAAATATATTTTAAAATAAAATAAAATGAAGATTAAAATAGTTGTGACCTGAAAAAGATTTTTTTTTAAATTAGGTAATAGTCATATAATGTAAAATTAACCACTTCGATGTGTACAATTTGATGGCATTAGTGCACTCACAATGCTGTGCAACCAGCACCTCTATGGAGTTCCAAAACATTTTCATCCTTACCGCCTTAGCATCCCATCATTGCAGCCTTAGAATAATGCTGGTACAGCAAGCACCAGTGAGTGCCCCATGAATGGCAGGATAATTAGAACAGGGGTCATAACCGGTAACCCGAGGCGGGTGGTGGGCTTAAGCTACTTCCCCTGGGCTGCAGGAAGAGGTTAGGGCCCCATTTTCCACCTTGAGCTCTCTCTATATCTATACCCTCCCAGGGTCGCACCCCTCCCCCCACCCAGGGCCATGCCCTCTCCGGTTGGGCTGATGGAGCCAGGAAATCTAGCATCTCTTCCGCAGCCTCAGGGCCTCTCCTCGGCTCCTTTTGGCGGCTGCTCCCCCAAGCTGTCACTTTCTGTGGCCAAGGAGACACGTGTGGATTGGGCGTCCGGGAAGATGCAGCCAGGGCGAAAGAGAATGAATGGGAGCGGAAACACGTCCACCTCTGGGAGGAGCTCTTAGGAGCAGACCGCCCTCACTTGGGAGCACACCACCTTCTTCCCCAGGGTCCGCTTTCACTCCCAGCAGACCCTGGGGAATCTGTACGAACATGCACCCTGCTGAAGGGAGCTGGAAAGTTTGGGACAGACTACTGCCGCCCCATCCTTCCACGTGCAAACATCCGTTCTGTGGTTACTTTGTGCAATTTAAGGCCTTCCGTGCCATCATTATAGCTTTGTGTTAATGGTCACTACTTCCATGCACTGAGTCCAGGCTACAGCAAAACATCCCTGGATCCAACTCCGACAATTCGCCCTGCGGAGACCCAGCAGCCATGAACTGTCGTTTGCTGCCATCTTGTGGCAGGCATGGGAACTTTGCGCTCCATTTCAATCCTTTTTAGCCCTCGTCAAGAAAACATAACTGGCTACAGGTCACCAGTAAGATCCTGAGCGCCTGAGTCAGACAGGGAAAGATAAATACCATATGATTTCACTTATGTATGGAATCCAAAGAAAAAAAATAAATGAACAGAACAGACACAGACTCATAGATACAGAGAGCAAACTGAGGGTTGCCAGATGGGGGAGGGCCTCGGGGTTTGGGTGAAAAAGGTGAAAGGAATAAGAAGTACAAATTAGTGGTTACAAAATAGTCACGGGGATGTAAAGTGCAGCTTAGGGAACATAGTAATATCATAATAACTATGCATTGTCAGGTGGGTACTAGAATTATCGGGGGAATCACTTCTTAAATTACATAATTGTCTAACCACTATGCTGTACACCGGAAACTAATATAAAGTGATATTGAATGTCAACTGTAACTTTAAAAAGATCATATGTACCTGGGGGCAGATCACAAGACAGACATGGTCCCAACCTTTTGAAGCTCACGGCCTCCTAGAAGAGACAGTCAATAACCCACAAGTAAATAAAATGAATGAATAAATAAAATTATTATAGAATGTGAAACAAGCTAAGAACAAAGCAGGGGCTGAGTATCACAGGGTGAAAATATATGTTTAATAAACTGAGTGTCTGTCTCCCTACACACCCCTCCCTGCCCAGAGCTGTGGGCCACACGAGGGCATGTGCATCTGTCGGACTCCCCCTTGTGAATGGGTAAAGCCACCCAGTGTTGGCACATAGTAGGTGCTCAGTAAATGTCTAATAAATACACGATGGCAACGCTGTGCTCAGCCAGCTTTTGGCTCCTTTAGGCCAAACAGATGGAGAGAAGAAGGAGGGGCTTATGGAAGAGAAGCTGGGTCCCTGGGGGTCCTGGGATAGCTGTAAGGGTTTGGGTGAGAATAATGGACAACCGTCACCCTCCCACGGAGACCCCAGTCCACCTTGTTTTAAATTGTACCCCCATTCCACTTGCTTCTTGAACCCCTTCCCTGCTTATATTTTTCACTTCGGCATTTTCCACCATCTCACATACTATGTATTTGCCTTATTTATTTAACATTTGTCTCTTCCCCCCTACCCTCAATCCCGGAATGTAAACTCTCAGATGGCAAGGATTTTGTCTGTTTTGTTCACCGATGACTCTCCAGTGCCTAGAAGTGCCTGACACTTAGTAGGTGCTTTGTAAATGTTTGTAGAGCGAATGAATGATGCATTGGGTGGGCCTTGGGAGCAGGGCCATGAGGGCACTGAGGGGAGACCAGTGGGAGGAGTGGGGCTCAGAGTCCAAGTTGATCAAGTTACAGAAGAGGCCAAGTGTAAACGGTACTAGGAGGGGAGGCGTTGGGCAGGGCAAGGGTCCGTGGAGGACAGGCTAGACTGGGGGTGGAGCCTTGGGGCGGGCTCTTTCTGGGGATGGATTCCCGAGGTTGCTACTTTAAGGGAGAAACCGGTTGGGGGCGGGGCCCAAGAAAGGTGTGGCCAATCTGGAGGAAGAGCCGTGCTGGGGGGCGTGATCAAACAAGAAAAATAAATGAAAGGAGGGGCTAAGGCGGGGGTGGGGCCAGGCAGCGGATGGGCCAATCAGGGGCCCGGGTGGATCTGGGAGGGGACGTGGGCGGGGCCATAAATGGGCGGGACCAGCCCAGAGGCGGGGCCGGGCCAGGATCTCTGCTGTCCCGGGTCCTGGAGCGCTCCCTCCCGCCTGGCAGGTCTCACTCGCGACCCGACGAAGGCCCTTCCCTGGCCACCTAGGCCCCAGGGTGCGCAGGGCTGGACTCTCCAGGCTCGGCGACTGCGGTCCGGCCTCGCCCCAGGCGCTGCGCTCGGAGCCAGGAGGCTGCGGGGTCCCTAGCGGGCTGAGTTCCTCGCCGCCCCGGGCTGTGTCCCCGCAGACTCTGACAGCCAGGGTGAGCCGGCCCTTGCAAGCATGCTTGTGTGCATGCCTGTGTTTGTCTCCTGCATGTGCGCACCAGTGTGTGTGTGTGTGCGCACGTGTGTGTGCGCACAAGACGAACTGTGTGTGTGGGTAGAGTTGGGTAGGTGCATGCTCCAAGGAACTGAGTGCGTGTGAAAGTTACGTGCAGGTGCAAGGGTGGTCCCACGTGGGAGGAGAGAGTCCTGCATGTGTGTGTATGTGTGTGAGACAGAGACAGTGCGTGTGTGAAGTTTGGTAAAGACTGTGTGTGTCAAGGTATCTTGGAGGAAACGGGAGGGAAGATACAGTGATTCTTGGAGGATGTCTGTGACGAGCTATGGGGTACGTGTGGTGAACTGTGGGGGTGTAAGAATGGCGAATGTGTGTGTTTCCATGTGAGTGGCAGTGAGGGTGCTTCTGGGGGCCTCCCTGTGAAGGAGTAGGGGCCAAAGCAAGTTTGGGGTACTGATTGCTTTTGGAGGGTGAGTGTTGGGGTCTGGCAGAGAATACCTTGAGGATTACATTGCCTCCTTTGCTTTGAGGGCTGGGAGGTTTGGGGGTGGGGCTAGAGGGGGTGGTCCTACCCCTTGCATGGAGGGAGCTGCCACCTCAGCCGTCACCTGTCTCCCAGGCTCTGTGCTCCCTCCTACCTGAGTGGCTTCTGCTGGTGCTCCCCTGAGAACATGGTGCAGAAGTACCAGTCTCCTGTCCGTATCTACAAGTACCCCTTCGAACTGGTCATGGCGGTGAGTGACCCCTGATGCTCTCGGTCCTGTGCGATGGTTGGAGGGATATAGGTGGTTGGCCATGACGGGAAGGAAAGGGAAACCCTCAGTCCCTGGATCAGAAGGAATTATTGAGCTACTTGGTTAACTTGGTGGGTCCAGCTTCTAATCAGTGACCCCTCAGCCTGGCCACCCTACCTTTCACTACTGTTTCTGGAATCCTTGCCCTCTGACAAAACACAAGGTCTTGCTTTCTCTTCCTTGTTGAAGCTTACATGTCCTCTTGTCTCAAGATTCTCTGACATAAAGCAAGGAAATCAGCTAACTCACTGCTGTCATTTTGTGTAATGATAATAGTAGTAATGATAATAAGCACACTAATGAGGATGGTGATAGTGGCAGAAATTCACTGAGGGTGTACAGTATGTACAGTAAGTACAAAGAGTATATGTAAAGATCAGCTGGTGAGGCTTAGTGGTTGAGTGTCAACCCATGTACCAGTAGGTCACCAATTTGATTCCAGTCAGGGCACCTGCACTGGTTGCAGACTCTATCCCCAATAGGGAGTGCATAGCAGGTAGCCGGCAGATGGTTCTCTCTGTCATAGATGTCTTTCTCTCTGTAAAAATTAATAAAAAACATTAAAAAAGAATATGTGTGAAAACATGCATTTAATTACCAATAGCTCACACTATTTTCATTTTATCTCCACTAACTGAAGCTTGGACAGGTGACAGGATGGCTCCAAGTTCTGTGGGTAGGATGAGGAAGAGCTGGGAATCAGATCTGCACAGGGAGGACTCCGGAGCCATATTTTAACCACAACACTCCCCAGGGTCCTCCTTCCATTCACACACCCTGATCTTCTCCTATGTGTCCTGCCTGATCTTATTCTATGGTCCTTACCTACATATGTATTCAGAGTCACATAAAGGATAAAAAAAATCTTCCATACGTGTTGTGCTGTTGTGTAGATAGTTCCACATCAGGAAAGAAGCAGGGGGTGTACCGACTGGCTGGTGACTTTGGGCAAGTTACTTAGCCTCTCTGAGCCTCCACCCCCCATCACTAAAATGAGAATTGCATAGTTTCAAAATCTGGGCATCCGGCTGAGGAGCAAATGAGTCAATATATGTAAAGCTTTTCATACAGGATCTGGCGCAGATCAAATGCTATTATTGTTTTTGTTAGTTATTTCTGTTGCCTATGGCTGTGTGACTTTTCCTCACTTGTAAGGGGGGTGGGACACCAGCGGTGATGAAGAGATTTGGGGACATGCCATCCAAAGCCCTGGTCCCTACCACGGCTCCGCAGTGCTCTGGCTGTGCCTTTGGGAAGTGACCACATTTCTCCGAGCCTTGGTTTCTTCATTTGTGAAATGGGGATGGTTTTATGCACCTCATAAGACTGTCATGAGGATTACAGACGATTGATGTGTGTGTATGACCCAGTGCAGGGCCTGGTCCATACGAAGCAGGACTAAATAAAAACAATTGTCCTCTAAGGCCCCAGGCAGGTCACATATTCTAAGACTCTAGGACTCGTTTGTTCATTCATTCATTTACTCAATAGAAAAGAGACACTGTCCCCACACTTCTGGGACAATGCAGGGGCCCCTGGTCCTTTGCCACTGAGCAGAGACAAATGGCAATAGCATGGGAAACGAATACATTTTTATTGCATGGGCTTAATAATTGTAAATTTAACCTAGCATGTTTAGGATTCTCAAAAACATTTACAATCATGGCATTTTAAAATAAAACATGTCTGTAGGACTGAAGACCGCATTAACAAGACATGGAATGTACCCATGTCACCTTTTCTGGACTATGTGAAGCCTGTTTTGCAGGCTTTGTGATCCATAAATGAAGACGGGTTTTAGTTAACTCCCTAGCGGTCAACAGTCTCTAGGTTCTATGCACAGGGATAAGTGGGTGCAGTAGGAAACAAAGGTTTTCAGATATTTGTTATCTATATCTGCTCGAATTTAAGTTATGCATATTTTTCTAATGCCTTGTCACCTTATCTTGCATATAGTTTTTGTCAGTGAAAAGGCTCCGAACCGCTGTAACGTCCCTGACAAAGCCACTTTGCCAACTGTTTACAAAACATCATTGTCCCAAAAATAGCTGCATAACTCAACATAACTTGTCCGCTGTGTGGGCACAAAAGGGGTTTTCTGCACTTAATGTCCGTCTTTGTTTCTCAGCTAAACACTTGCCCTCAGTTTGGGTCAGATGCCAGGGAAGTTTTGGATGGACTCAGCTGTTTTTACCACATCCGAGTGACCAGACCAACTGGCCTTTTGGTTTCTCTGTTTAACAAAACTGACTTGAGAATCAAAAGCCTCCCTCACTTCTTCCAAAGTCTCCAAGTGATGACACAAAAAAATTAAAACTGGGCATGTGGAACTGGTTATAACATAGCATTGAGGCGGCCCTGGCTGGTGTGGCTCAATGGATTGGAGCAGCCCAGGTTGAGGGTTTGATCCCTGGTTGGGGAAGGTAACTGATTGAGGTTTCTCTCTCTCTTTCTCTTTCCTTTCCCCTCTCTCTAAAATCAACTAGCATGTCTTAGGTGAGGATTTAAAAAATAGCACTGAGGCACCCTGTCAAGACCTAGGTTAAATTTTTTAAAAATATTTTTTTAATTTTAAAAATTTAACTCAATTTTGTTTCTGATGGGTGGGATTCCAATGGGAATTTTGCTTCCTTCCCCTTCCCCTTCTTCTCCTCCTCTCCCTCCTCCTCCTCCTCTCTTCTTTCTTGATAGTCCTCTGAATTGTTTGGTTCAAAACAATGAGCTTGGCCCTGGCCAGTTTGGCTCAACAAATAGAGTGTCAGCCTGCAAACTGAAGGGTCCTAGTTCAATTCTGGCTAAGGGCATGAGCCACACTGGCAGGGCAGATTTATTATTATTATTATTTAATGTTTCAACAGCTTTATTAAGCTCTAACTCACATATTGTACCATTCACTCATTTAAAGGGTACTGGTAAACATTAATGGTTTTTAGTATCCATAGAGTTGTACAATCATCATCACTGTCAATTTTTAAAAAACATATTTTTATTGATTTCAGAGGGGAAGGGACAGGGAGAGAGAGATAGAAACATCAACGATAAGAGGGAATCATTGGTTGGCTGCCTCCTGCACACCCCCTATTGGGGATCACGCCTGCAACCCAGGCTTGTGCCCTTGACTGGAATTGAACCTGGGACCCTTCAGTCCTCAGGCTGACGCTCTATCCACTGAGCCAAATCGGCTAGGACACCACTGTCAATTTTAGAATATTTTCATCATTCCTTCCTCCACCAAAAGAAAACCATCCCTGTACTCTTTTTTGAAAAAATGTTTTCATTTATTTTAGAGAAAGGAAGGGAGAGGGAGAGATAGAAACATCGAAGAGAGATTGGCTGCCTCTTGCATGCCCCACACTGGGGATTAAGTCTGCAACTGGGACAAGTGCCCCGACTGGGAATTGAACTGGTGACCTCTTGGTGCAAGGGACAATGCTCAATCCACTGAGCCACACCAGTTGGCCAAAAACCTGTACTCTAGTCATTATCCCATAAACTCCCCCATCTGTCCAGCCCTTGATAACCACTAATCCACTTTCTGTCTCTATAAATTTGCCTTTTTGGACATTTCATGTAAATGGAATCATAAAATATGTGGTCTTTTGTGACTGGCACACTGTTTTCAAGTTTCATCCGCACTGCAGTGTGATGGAGAACTTCATTCCCTTTTATGGCTGAATACTATTCCATTGTATGGATGGACACATTTGCTTATCCATTCAGCAGGTGTCGGGCTTTAGATTGTTTCCAATGTGGGGCTACCATGAATAACCTTGTTATGAAGAATTATGTACAAGCTTTTGGGTGAACATATTTCTCCCAAATAAATACTAGTGTGAATGGTGGTGGTTATTTGGTGGGTTTGGGAAGGTTCGATTTTAAATTTTAACAGACACATATACATTCTGAGCCCATTCAAATACTAATTCATATACTTCTCATAACCACCCCATTCGATAGGTTTGGTGGGTAGTCCATGCTACAGATGAGGAAACGGAGGAACAGAGAGGATGAATGGATTACCTAAAGCCACAGCGGGAACACGAGGGGATTTAAACACTTGCCCTCAGGTTGGGCCGGATGCCAGGAAAGTTTTGGATGAACTCAGCTGTTTTTTGTTTTGTTTTTGTTTTTTACCACATCCGGGAGGCCAGACGAATTTATAATCCCAGCCATGAGCTCTGCCTTTCCTCAAAGCTGGGGATCTGAAGTTACGTTTCGATATCACATCGATGTTTCTCTCTCTTACTCTCTGGACCACCTCTATGATGGAGCAGTTACCATTAAGGCTGGGTCCAGAATGCCTGCACCCCATCAGCATCCTGCAAAGGGGAACACAGCTAACCCCCCGGAGACTTGGCCTCTCGGTGGACAGCTGGTGTCTACACAGCCTGAGGGTGGTGTCTGAGCCCTCTGTGCCCCCAGCCCTTTAAGCGGCTGAGAGGCAGGTATTATAATATATGGCAGCAGCAGAAGAGGCAGTGAGGCTTAGAAAGGTTAAGGAGACTGTCCCTTAGTCAGTGTCCTCCTTCGCTAGAGCTGTGTAGCTAAGCGCTATGACTGGACAGCGCAGGACAACAGGAAGTTAGTGTCTCACAGTCCTGGAGGCCGTAAGTCTAAGCTCGAGGTGCCAGCTTCTGAAGGTGCCAGGAAGCCCTCTCTTCCAGCTTCTGGTAGTTTCTTGGCTGTGGCGGCATAACTCCCATCTTCACATGGCGTATTCCCTGTGTGTCTGCACCTCTGTGTCCAAATTCCCCCTTTATAAGTCATATTGGATCTATAAGGAATGACCTCATTTTATTTTATTTTTTATTTTTAAAATATTTTATTGATTTTTTGCAGAGAGGAAGGGAGATAGAGAGCTAGAAACGATGAGAGAGAAACATGACCAGCTGCCTCCTGCACACCCCCCACCTGGGATGTGCCCGCAACCAATGTACATG